CAATGTGCTTTATTATAATACTCATTTGTACAGGTTTGTACTGGATCTAACATTAACTATCCAACATATGCTTATTTTTCAGCTTGCCTACATGTGGCATGTGTTGTCCAGCAAAAAGATGCTAGACAATGGTTTGCTGAGCTTTCTGTTGATATGGAGAAGGTAGTTGTATTTTATTTACTAGGTACCGTTTTATTAAGTTATGGGGAGACCCACATGTTGGTTATGTGCTCCATTAGTGTAATGGTAGCTCTGGAGGGATAAATAAAACAGGCTAACTGAAAACTTTATTGAGCCAGCATCTGTTGCTGGCAGCTTAAAAGCAGAAAACTTGTAGAAGTTCTTCAGTTAGAATTAGAAACCAAAACCAATCATGAGTTCAGGAACTAGATGAGCACCAGTTTATACAGTATTTCTAGTTAGTTATGTGAGTAGAGTTAAGTGATCACACCAGTTTTGCTAACAGTTGCAAACTACATGCAGTTAACTCCACTCACATTTGTGTGAGAGGAATGCAAGTATTCTTGTGAATTGCCTTAGCTCTAACATTATTTAGAACTTTACCCTAGTGTATAGTGTTTTAATTTGCATATATTTTAAAACTTAGATTCTTGAAATAATTCTTTTCATCTGCATTTTTTTAAAGATTTTAGAAATAATCAGGGTTATTTTGAAACTATATGAACAGTGGAAGAATTTTGATGAAAGGAAAGAAATGGCTACTATTCTAAGTAAGATGCCTAAACCTAAACCACCTCCAAACAGGTCAGTGTCTTCAAACTGGATTTTCTTTCTCCCTGTGGCTGTTTTTAAAATATGTAACTGTACAGAGTGTGTCTCAAATGTGAACGTAGCATCTGAACAATATTCCATCTGCAGAAAGTTAGCTTCATGCTGCCAGAGCAGATTCCTGGTTGTTAAAATGGCTTGTCTGCATGTGGCATTAGGAGTGGGCGGGAGTGGGCTAAATAGGGTTGGTATCAGTATTTTCTGGTATCATCGAGTGGCTCAACAGGATGGGGATGTAGTTTCAAGCAGTTACCTGACTCTGCATTAATGTAGTGTCTCTCACGTTGAAGGATTTTCAGAATTTGAGACAGGTTTTCTTTAGGCTAGGTATGTTCCCACATAATTAAACTTAATTTGAGAGTTGCACCAAAGTGGACCTTTCAACAATGTCCATGGATTTAAAAGTTTCAGACTGTGCTTTCATGACCATGAAACACTCCACTGCAAATTTGATCTTCCCCTTGCGTGTTTATAAAGTTTTTGGGGTCAGAGCAGTTGAGTCAAATAATATGTGCATAATAAGTTCAAATATGCTTTTTTCCAAACAGTGAAAGTGACCAGGGTCCAAATGGAAGTCAGAATTCTAGCTACAGCCAGTCTTAAGACATTCCGAAGAAATTAATTGTGGACCATTTTGGATGACAACATGTTGGTATCATTTCCTGTGAAGACAAGGACAAAAGATTACAATAATGGCTTTTCAGGAAAACAAGGCAATCAACCCTGAAGAATGTTTCTCAGATTTACTGTAAACACACACCCATTTTAGACTGGCACAAACAAAGCGTCAAACAAGCCAAGCTTTGGCTAAAGCTAGAAAAACATATTCAAAAACTGAAGAGGTTGTTGTTGTTTTAAATAGTGAAGAGTTTTAAGAAACCATGTTAACATGAAAGCTGGGTGAGTGTAATTGGATCTTTGGTTTCCCTATACTAGTTTAACCATGGGAAATGATTTGAAATGTTCAATTTGAAATTCTATATTTCCAGGCATATCCTCTAAATCAGGGCTCCCCAACCCGTGGTCTGCAACCTGCCAGTGGTCCGCGGCCTAGGCAGGACCAGGCTGCAGACGCAGATCCCCTGCCCGCCCACGAGCACTCCTCCATGAGTGTACCCTGCGCATGCGTGAGCGCATTTTGCCCCGTGAGCACCCCTGAGCATGCATGCAAGTGGAATGTGCCCACTATGCACACAAGTGCGACATGCCCCTCTGCGAGCACGATGCCCCTCCCACTGGTCTGTGGTTGGGAAAAGGTTGGGGACCACTGCTCTAAATGCCATTGGACATTGTACAACAAAGGGAATGCCCTCCTTCTAGTAAACGATTGAGAGAAACTCCTTTTTTAAAAAAAAGAGTAAGAAAATGTTGCATTCCTCATCCAAACTTTAAGGATATGCTCTTGGTACCAATAGTTTGAGAGTGGAACACAATATCGGGCATATCCAAAAATGTGCAATATGTATAACGCAAATTGTGGCTGTTATAAGAACATTTCACTTTTTACAAATGTTGAACTATTAAGTCTTGTACAAACTGCAAGTCAAATTTTGCAATCCAATCAAGTTGAGAAATGAAGAAATTAATCTGCTTTGAGAGTGTGATGGTGGGATGTGTTGTGTGCTAGAATTTAGTCTGCCTTCATTGTTGCTATGAATGATTTGTTACAGGCCTTTTGAAAAAGCAACAAAGTTCAGATGAGACTAGATCTGACAGTGGTATTTTTTATTACAGTAAGGGTTTAATCAGACAAGAATTGTTGCTCCTTTTAATCAGAGGGCCATATCCTGTGCTCTTTACTCAGGCAGATCTCCCACTGAAATTGGGATTTGGTCTAAAGCCCTAGAATTTTAATGAACAGACTGTGCACTTCAAAATGTTCATTTTGTGTCCTAAAACCAAGTAAGAAATTACTGGTTTTCAGTATCAGATGTCTATCCTGAGAACATTATAGTGCTATAAAAGCTAAGGAGTGTTGGTTGGAAGTCTTGTCACAAGGTGCTTGTTCTAAAACTTGATTTTTTAAAAAAGCAGCAGTGGCTGCATCTACTTGATCTGTCATTCAATTAAGTGTAACCAAAGTGTTTTTGTATGCAAATGCTTAAGCTCTTTGCACTTAACTGTTGAAGTTATTTTTATAAAGCGTGTTTGGATACTGACTTACAAAAATATTTCTGTGAGAAGTGATGTGTTTCTGGGTTCAAGTACCCTTATCCGTTGTACTATTTTGTTAATAACTGGTAATGTACCACATTCTTGCTAACATGACTGATTGAAGACACCCTGTCCATAGCATTATGGAAATTAATTTTGTTCCCCTAAGGGTTTCAAATGTATTTGTAATGTGAACTAGCTATGTAGGAATAAAGACAGAAATAAATGGACAAGTTTGACTAGTTTTATTCCAAAGCTAAAGGACATTCATTATGACAAGATACTACATAAAACAGTATATTATATAGAATGGAACCCAAATGCACTGAAATCAACAAAAATTGTTTAGTTACAAGATCATCCACCTAATCTAATTTTGTGATAACAGTGTCTGACTATAGATGTAGTGTTTTAAGTTTGTATTCTGATTATTTCTCGCTGCCTAAACAAAATTCTGTGTGTATGATAAGCAGTCAAGTTGGAACCAGCTTACAGTGACCCTAATCGAGCTTTCAGAATAAGTGAGATATTTGAATGATTTTACCAGTTCCATCCCTCTCCTCTGAGCAACCATGGCTGAGTGGGATTTGAACCTTAGGCCTTCTAAGTCCTAGTCCCGTCACTGTACCCACTACACCACACTGAGGTGATTTTAATTCTGTGCAGAAATACACAAGTATTTATTTATTTATTTATATCCAGCCTATCTCGTCGGTTAAGACCACTCTGAATGGATTCCAGGGAAAAGAAACCCAATCCCTTATTTAGATGGGCTGAACATTTCAGTTCCTTTTCATGTTCAGCAGAAATTACTAGGAAAAGTAGCTACAGTTGTTTGATGTAACATTTTCTTACTAACCTAGTTCTGCTAGTCTTATGATAAAAGTTAATTACTAAAGAGATACTATACACAAGTAATAATCAAAACATAGCCTACTATTAAAGGAAAAGAAATCCCTAATGATAAAATTACCACAATGATCAGCTGCAGATTTCCTTAGTGAAGACACATTGTCAATTAAGAGGAAATTTCAAAGTTGGTGGTTGGTCCAGCAGTCTTTGAAAAAAATTTCCACAACATTGAATGATCAGACAAAACGCCAGAAGCACATTTCAGTTCTTGCCTCCTGTCTAATGTAGCCTATACTCAGCTACATACAAACCATTCCAAAATGTGTACAGCCCTTCAGAAACATTACAGAATGCTAGCTGTTCCCTGTGTAGTTTTCAGGATGTGGAATACTTTATTGCAAAAGTCACTTCTTTTCTGAAGATTCATATTCTGTCCACCCTTTGAAACCACCAGCATAATGCTGAGCCCTGAAAGCACAATGATCAACTTCTGTAAAACACCTCATCACACACATTTTATAGAAGAGATGGGAAAAATGCAGCCTAGGCCCATAAGTGATTCCCCCAAGGCTATTTCTGCAGCCTCTGAATGTTTTGGTGTATTTATTTTTTCAGCCTCAGTGCCTTCCGACGGGGCTTGCTATGCTGTTCATTTTTTGTGTTGTTGTTTTTTAAAGCCCCAGCACCTTCCGACGGGGCTGCTGTGCTTTATTTTTGGTTTTGGGGTTTTTTTTAAAAGCCCCAGCGCCTTCTGATGGGGCTTAATCACAGTCCAATGCATTTCAATGGGAAATGGTGCTTCGACCTACGACCATTTCGAGTTACGTCCATCGTCTGGAACGGATTATGGTCATAAATCGAGGCACCACTGTACATTGTACATTCTGGAACTTAATCCAGAATGATGGTTGTAACTCGAAATGGTGGTAAGTCGAAGCACCATTTCCCACAGGAATGCATTGAACCCCCATTAATCCATTCTGGCTGGAGAAAAAAACCACACAAAAAACAAAAAAACAAAAAATACTGTAAGCCCCACCGGAACATGTTGGGGCTGGAAAAAACATCATCATAAAAAAAATGCAAGCCCCATTGGAACGTGTTGGGGCCGGGGAAAAAATCACAAAAAACCCCACAACACAGCAAGCCCCATGGGAACGCGCTGGGCCGGGGAAAAAAATCACAATAAAAAAAACAAAACAAAAAAACAATGCAAGCATCCCACAACACAGCAAGCCCCATGGGAACGTGCTGGGCCGGGGGAAAAAAATCACAAAAAAAAAACACACACACAATGCAAGCCCCATTAGAATGCGTTGTGGCAAAAAAAATCACACAAAAAACCCAAACAAAGCAAGCCCCATTGGAACGTGCTGGGGCCGTAAAAAAAAAAAAATCACAAAAAGCCCCACAACACAGCAAGCCCCATCGGAACATGCTGAGGGAGGGAGGGAGGGAGGAAGGAAGGAAACCCACTAAACAACAACGACGATAAAGCGAGCCCCACTGGAATGCACTGGGGCTGGGGATGAAATCACAGAAACCACACACCACAGCAATCCCCCCCCCCATCGGAACCCGCTGGAGCCGGGGGGAAAAACCCACCAAAAAACCCCAAACCCACAACACCACAGCAAACCTCATTGGAAGGCACTGAAGCTGAAAAAACAAACACACCAAAACACACAAAACTATCACAGCACAGAAACATAACCCCCCCAGCCCAAACCCACCCTGCAAAACCCTGTATGTACTCACTCAGAAGCAGAAAGCCAGGCAGTCCGAAGCTGCCCCCGACGCATACACTCTAACCGTTGGGGTGAAAGAGCTACAAAGAGGCAACCTCTTCGCCAACCAACGGTTAGTACATTTGAATTCCCCGCCTTTTTCTCCACCTTTTTTCCAGTCTACCTCGAAGCTCCGGTCGCAAGTCAAAGAAAATGTTTGCAGTGGGAGCTGGTGATAACTCAAAACGGTAGTAAGTCGGGACGTTAGTAAGTCGAGGCACCACTGTATTTAAGAAGGCAACCATCACCTTGCTAATGACTGGCAATTTGTCACCAAGACTTAACTTGATTTCTCTTACACAAGCAAAAAATGGCAATGGCAATACAGTGGTGCCTTGCTTAACGAGCGCACCGTTTAACGACGAATCCGCATAGCGATGCGTTTTTTGCGATCGCTAATGCGATCGCATTGCGATGTTTTAGATAGGGAAAACATTGCATTGCGATCATCCGTAAGCATTTCACTTCCCAATCTTCGCATTGCGATGTTTTACAAACAGCTGATCGGCGGTTCCAAAATGGCCGCCGGGTCAACAAAATGGCCACCCGCAGCGTTTTTGTGCCCTGCCCTCGCTTACCAGGTGGCGAAAATGGCGGCCGGATGGAGGATTCCCCGCATAGTGGCGAGTTTTTCCCCAATAGGAATGCATTAAACGGAATTTAATGCATTCCTATGGGTTCCCCCCCTGCATAGCGACGAATCCGATAGCGACGTTAATCCTGGAACAGATTAACGTCGCTATGCGGGGCACCACTGTACAATTCTGGCTAGTGGGTTCATAACTATGCAGTATTGTAACTTTTGACATACAGGACTGCCACACCCCAGTGCTCTCTACAGCACTCCAGTGGAACTTGCATAATGACATGCATGGTCCAAAATAAACCAGTATTTTCTTTCCAATGCACATACAGTATTATTTGACAAAATGTATTTTGAAATCGTGCTATTTTAACATACTTTTTAAACATTTCTCATACTATTTTAACATTTAGTAACATGCAGGTAAATTTTTACTAAATCTGAAATTTTTAAATTCTGGTTTCTATTGCCTTCTGTGAATAGCAGCTAAAGTTGTTAAGACAAAGTTTCAGTACAGATTCTGCATAGACTATACAAAATGTGACAAAGCGGAATAAAGTCTCGTCTGCATGGGTTTATTTGGAGCAGGCTGGTGTAGGCTAAATAGGGTCGCTCAAGGTTGGGTAGCAGTCTGGAATGCTATTTGGTACGATCCTTGTATTCAAATGGTACATCACCTCAAGTGACCCTGTTCTGTCTGTCTGACTGTATAAAACAACAAAGCAAAATAAAATCCCCTTCACTGCCCCCTTCCACTTCCAGGAGTGAAAGTGGAATATATATATTGAGAACTTGAGGTGATGAACCAATTGAATACAAGGATCGTACCAAATAGCATCCCAGACTGCTATATTTATATATTAGAGATGGGGGTATTTGTATTCGTATATGAATATCCCTGCACAGGTCGAAATAATGACTGTCCACTCATGATTTCAACCTTGCCGCTGGCTCCATGGAGGCTTCCTATCGGAATGTTTTCCACAATGGATTAGCCACTCTCTGACCTAGCAGAGAGGCTTGTCATCCCACCTCCTGCCAGGACTGGGTAATCGATTGTGGACAACTGCGCGATAGGAAGGTCTGACAAGCTCGTGTCAGCGGCGAAATCATGAGTGGACAGTCTGGCCCCATGGGTCCCAGACCCTCGATATGTCCACCTGTGCAGGGATATTTGCATTTGTATACGAATACCCCCATCTCTAATATATATACTGTACTGTATATTTAATTTAAGTGGTATAGTGCATGAGCACTGCCCTAACACAGTTTAAAAAAATCTTTTAATTTGCCAATATTGTGAAGTGCCTGTCTTCTTGAGCCATTTAACAATATGGAAATTGAAAAAGGAAGGCAGATTGACAGACATAAGCTTGCTTTAGTTTGTTTCCAGTGAACTGGAACATCTGCATGACTTTTTATATACATGTAGCTTAATTTGAGCAATTATCTGAGCCATCAAGAACTATGAACAAATCTCAGCCAGACTTATACTCTTTGCCCTGAATTTGCACACCTGCACAAAGGGAGGCCATCACAGAAATTAGTCAGAAATTAGGAATTCTTGCACCTTAATTTGCCCAAATGCAGTTAAGTCATGGTTTGGAGGATCATGTGAACTTGACTTCCTTTCAACAAAAAGTTCTCAATGAGATGTCAATACTGGACTATACCATACAGTTCCTGAATTTCAAAGGAGGACTTCTACCCCTTGAAGTCAGTACTGTGGAGACCAGAAAAGAACACACCACATTCTTGTGGGTTTTTTTAAATTAAACTATGACTTATACAGACCTACGGGTATATTAATGCATCATACTGCTATTTTCCTACAAGTCTAAACCACAATAATTTCTCTGAATATGTCATGCCTAGTTTGTATTCCCTTATACCACTTGTTTTCAAAGCAGAGCACCCAGGCAGTTTGCTATAAGCCTATATATTACAAGAAATTGAACCATTTTCTGTAGTCCTCCTCTGGATATTTTTACTCACCTGCTAAAACCCAGAGTCTTTGCAGAAATTAGAGCTTGGTTGCTTCTTACTCCGGCCAAACAGGAAAAGACTAAACAGTCGGCTTTAGAAGGCATATCATGGCTGTATCTCTCTTTGAAATGTTGCGGGTTCATCTGCAAAGCTTCCACGATCTCACCCACTGAAAGAATTAATCAGAATTTCCTGAGGGACAAATAAATCTGAAGTATGCAACAGTAGTACACATAACAGAATTCATATTGTGGGTGAGCCCTCTCTACTCATACATACAGCTTTGCATTGGTGAAAAACACTGAACTCGGTTAGCCTATTGTCTCACTATGTGCGCGTGCGCACACACACAGGCACACCAACTGCTCTGGACAAGCAAGTGTAACTTACATGGAATGCTGATGGACCCAGGGATTTGTCCATATTCTGCAATTTCCCATTTCTCCCTGACATCAATGAGGAAAACAGACTTGGATTCCAGCAAGCCTTTGAGTTCTTTATAGGAGACCTTGCTGTTGTCAGCAGTGCAAAAATGACAAGCAGTTGGCTTTGCAGTTTCCAAAACTGTTAAAAGAAAAATTATAGTATAGGCAATAATCTTTTGGAGCACAATTTGTCAGACACATACCTTATTAACCTCTCCATGTGCCTTTATTTTAAATAGCAAGGGCTCTTACAGGGTAAGGAACAAACATGCAACCACTGTAAGTCTTTACTCTGGTTGCAGCGCATGGACCATGAGCCTAAAATCCCAAACAGAATTGACACTGGCCATATTCTCTGGGAGTGGGTGGGTGCAGAGTGCTATAATCTAAAAAAAATAATTTTCCAAACTCAGCAATAAACAAGGTAGAATGCATCACACTTCTGACTCAATTTGCTCCCTCAGGCGTGATTATTAATAGGTTGGATTCTAAATAAAATACAACTGCTACCAGCCAGCCACATAATCTGGCAGCATTTCAATTTAGATTTATTGTGTTGGTCGGCACAAAAGGCGACCGCTTCTCATGTTGAACACATCGTTCAAATAAGCTTCCCGTTTGGGGAATGTGGTATAACCGAGTAGTAGGTGGTGATGGGGCAAAGGGTGACTCATCCAGCTCCACACGCTGCAGGCTCGGTGAAGCCCAGCCACGGTGGATCCCGTCCGTCCCGTGGATGAATGACCGCTGGGAACCCTTACAAATAAAACGGCACAATATTAATTGGTTTAGGTCCACAGTGGTTCTTAACCTTGGGTTACTCAGGTTTTTGAACTGCAACTCCCAGAAACCCCAGCCAGCACAGCTGGTAGTGAAGGCTTCTGGGAGTTGCAGTCCAAAAAACACCTGAGTAACCCAAGGTTAAGAACCACTGGTTTAGGATCGCTGGTAACTCAGCAAAACCATTTCCGACAAGGACCCTCCCAATCTCACTCCTAACGGCCGGGGGGGGGATTAGGACCCTCCTCCCCCAAAAAACGCGCCCTCGAGGTCTCTCCACCAGCCCCGGGGCACTTACACCCTGACGCCGGCGCCGCCCGAAGGGGAAAGGTCTGCCGGTGACTGCACGCCCGCCGGCTTAGCTCTCGCCCCCT